GCGTACTGTAAAGTGGGGGGGAGGGGGGTGGTTTGGTTGTTGTTGCGCGCGTAATGAAAAGCGGTGTTGTCACGTGCGTTCTGATCAGCTGTGTTGTCACGCGCGTACTGAATAGCGGTGTTGTCGTACTGTGAAGTGGGGGAAGGGGGGTTGAGCGCGCGTACTCAAGTGCGGTGTTGTCGCGCGCCTACCGCCTACTGAAGGGCGGGACGGAGGGTGTGTCGCGTCGCGGGGGCACTTTTGGTCATTTTGGAAGGGCACTTTCTATCCAAGACTAAAAAGGGAATGTGCACTGTACAGGTTGAGCCCTATGTGTGCACGTGCCTGCTTGCATCTCTGTTCTTAAAACTTAATCTATAATTAAACTTTGGTGTATTTAACAGTCAGTATATGAACTAATTTGTTCTCATGTGTATTTTTTGGCAGATCGCAAAGATAAGTTTCATAATTTATGACCGTAAATAATGTAACTAATATTACACTGATCCTGCGTGTTTGCCTGATTGCTTTTGCTTTAAAGAAGAAAAATAAAGCAGAGTGTTGTCTTACCTGTCCCCATATGTTTGTTTTTTTTCTTTTTGCAAAATTTCTGAAATAGGCTTTGGCTGCTTTTTCTCCAAAATGCATCTTATGTGCCCTTAGACTGGTGTTTCATAAGATACAACTCTGTGAATGTTGTATTTCATGTGTATAGATTAATGTGTTTTTAATAATTGTAAAGTTATTCTACTTAAAGCAGGGATTGCAGTCTTTTTGTTAAATCAATTCCATGAGATCAATTTGCCTAGTCTATCAATTTGATAAGTTAATAGAAAATTAAATAAATTATCTTTAATTTCATTAGCCAATGCTTAAAGTATCATATTCCTACAGCATATCTAATTGATGTGGTACTTTATGAGATTTGTATGTTTATTATGAAAGGTAAATCATGGAAAGTCTGCCATTGGTAGCTTTCGCAGTATTAAAGGTAATGTTAAGAAAAGGCCAATATACATACAGATCTTCTCTCATTAGAGAAGTTGTAGGAAGTAGACAAAAGAAATGTGTTGCTGGGAATGTGACTGGAAACACAATCCAGGTGTGACTGAGTGTGTTATTTGTCCATCTGTGATCAGATTGATGAAATCGCATCTTATGATTTCTCTCTCTCTATTTGTCTGCCTGTCACTGCTGATTCAGTGGAGGGACTAGAAAATCTAACATGTCAAAACTGACGAAAATTCGGACAAATATTGTGCTGCAAAGAGCAAAGTTAGTTTAAACTTATGCCTATCTTGGCAAATAATCATGGAATAAGCGAGATGATCTACAGCTTGAGGTGCGTTAAAGGATTTTAATGTACTTCGCGTCTTGCATTAAAATCCTTTAACGTATGGCAAGCTGTTGATTATTATACCTTACATACTGTATATACACAGTATATGTCAAGAATCTGAGGATTTAAAAATCTAAATATTGAGAAAATAGCCTTTAAAAGAGTCAAAATGAAGCTTTAAGCAAGGCAAACTAGTAATCAAGGTACTAAACCATCATTACTAATTACTAATAATCATTACTAAGAAAGTTTTGATATATTTATTCTAATGATTTTGACGTAAAAGAAAAATGAATAATTTTGACCAATACAGAGTATTTTTGGTTATTGGCTTTTAAAAAAATGTTTCTGTGCAACACAAGACCAGGATTAGAAATGCCTACTTTTAGAGATTTGTGTTGCTTTAAAAAAAAAGCAACTTGCCCTTGAAGTAAATTGTAAGTATAGATAGTACTTTGGGGTGGGGGGTGGTTGTCAGTTAATCAGTACAACATTTATGATTGTGATGATCATAATTAGGTGTCTATTTATTTATGTCTCTCACTCTCACCAAGGCTGTATTTCTTTGGTAAAAATACAGTAAAACCATATTGCTATTTGTACACATACAGACACGTACGCAACCCGATTTCTTACAGCATGGGTCTCATACTCAATTTCTTGAGGGTGGCAGCTCTGCACAGTTTTGCTCCAACCTTAATCAAACACAGCTGATCCAAATAATTGATTGTTCAAAAGATTCTTGAACACCTTAATTATTTATATCAGTTGTGTTTGGTTAGGGTTGGAGCAAAACTGTGCAGAGCTGCCGCCCTCCAGGAATTGAGTTTGACACCTATGCATTACAGTGTTGCAATATCTGATATCGGTAACGCTTTATTTTGTCACAGTTTATGCTGTTAACAAACTATTAATAAGGGTATAAGGTTAACAAACTGCTAATAAGCTGCGTATTAATATTTAGTAGGGTTTGCCTTCAGGTTTTGGGTAAGATTAGGTGTGTAGAATAAAATCATACTCAAAAATAACAACAAAAACAGTTAATATCTTAAAAATAGGTGGGTTATAAGCCAGTAGTTAATAGTATGAATTGTGACTTAAACTAAAGTGTTACCGGGATAAGCCTCAGATCATTAATCATTGCACTTCTATTATCCGGTAAACACCAGTTCTTCACTGTACAGCATTTAATTTATGCTATAAACTAAACTGTCACTGTATCTCATCAATTTGGCGTGTATTCCTTATGTCTAGAATGCACCCGGAGAGCCGCTGATAAAAGAAGAGTTACAGAGCGGAGTGAACGCAGCCAATGCACAGGCAGCAGAGTTTCAAAGATGTATGTACAGTACTCTATACAGCATTCCTTCATTCCTTTGAACAAACGAAATGTAAAACAACTAAATATTGTTAGTATATAATAACAAAATATTGCCTTAGAGAAGAATACATCATTTGCATTGTTACTCATTTAAGTGTGTATTTATTCTGTTATAAAGCTGTCACTCTATGAACACTGTGCGTGTGTATGTGTGTGTCAGTGCTGCGGGCGGTGGAGAGCATTAATGCAGCCATCAGAAAAGGTGTCGCAGAGGAAACAGTCCATGAGCTGATGAACCCGGACGCTCAGCTGCCGCAGGTTTACCCCAATGCTGCAGATCTGTACCAAAGAGAGCTGTCCAGTCTACAGCAGCAAAGCGCTGAGGTAAAAACACACATCTATACAACCTCTGCTCACTCCAGCATGATACTGAGCTCTGATAACTCTGCTCTAGAACATACGCCTCAGAACGCCTCCCTTTTTAGACCAGAACGCCTATGGGCGCACAAATGACCGCTAATGCATTTGTTATTTAAACAGCATAGCGCAACGCCTCAAAACGACTCTTGCGCCAAGCTAAAACTACCAAAAGACTTTTGCGACGCGCCTTGCGCCACACTGCGCCGGGTGTATGATAGGGCCCTTTAAGTTAAACATTGTGTTTTAGGTCTTAAATCATTTTAAACTGCCTTAATTTTCCAATTTCCACATAGGGTTACACAATAGGGCTTCAAAATAAATAAAACTTTTTTTTGTATTTTCCTCCCCAATCGAGGAAAGGAGATTAAGGATTAAAAGACAATTCCTTATGATAATAACAAAGCAATATTTCCCTTTACATCATCTTCCTTGTATACACAAACTTTTTACAGAAGAAAGGGCGAGTGGACAAGTTATTTATAAATAGGCATGAAACTTTTTTTATAGCAGAGATTTATAGCAGAAACACATTAGGTTGAACAGGAGTTTTATACTCAATCCATTTGGGTCAAAAGTCAACAAATATATATTTTTGATCATTCACTCAGAATCCAAAATAAATATACTTTTAACAAGGCTAAAGTTGTCTTAAAAAAAAAAAGAAAAGAGAGAGAATAAAACAGTATGTTGAAATTTAGACATAATGTACAAGTATTTGCAACTAGAGTTTGCTTGTTTTGACACATTATTTAAAATATGTTACTAAGTAATAATTTAATTTTTTTGATTGGGTTTTTCCACTATTTTTTAATCAGCCAAAACAATATTTTCCATTTAATATCCTTTAGATTTAGCCCTGTTAAAGTCTGAAATTTCATTCATTATGGTCTTGAAAATTTTTAAATTTGACTTAATCAAACCTGCAGAAACCCCATTTTAACCGAAAGCTCTGATATGTGCATCAAGCATTAAATGCTGCATATACACAAATATGGCGCATCAGAGTTACAGATTTCTTTATTGCCTTCACCTAAAAAATACAAGACGGTAACAAAATATCAGAATATCTTATTGTTAATTATTTTTGCAAATAAATACGCATCTTATTATGAAGTTTTTTTTTTTTTTTTAAAGTGTCCATGCTCCCTAGAAATAGCAATTTCCTTTTCTGAGCCCAGCACATATAGTACATTTTACAAAACAGATTTACTAAAGTATTTTATACCTGTAAACTTTGTAATGCACAATGTAAATATACGTTAAGTATAACAACTAAGCAAAACAGCTTTACAGTTATTCTGTTTATATGTTAAAGGAATAGTTCACGCAAAAACAAAAATGTCTTAACCATTTACTCACACTCAAGTGGTTCTAAACTTTGATGAATTTCATTCTTCTGTTAAACACGAAACCAGATATTCTGAAGAATGATGGAAAATAGCTTCCATACATGAACGTCAATGGCTGCTTTCTTACATTCTTCAGTGTATCTTCCTTTTTGTTAAACAGGAGAAACTCAAACAGGTTTGGAACAAGTGGAGGATGTGTAAATGATTACAGAATTGTATCCTTTATCTTCGGAATGATAGGGAAAAAGAGTCATTAGCTGCATTTCCATCCACCTATTTTTATACGCATTTTGGATTCGTGCATGAAAACCGGTTGATGAAAATCCCAAGATGTGCATACATTTTGAAAACGTGCATAAAACACGTATGCGCATAACTGAGTAGGATAAACTTTTTATTTCATAAGATGCGCAAAAACTATGATGGAAACACTTTTACCGAACAAGTTCCAGCATGTGCATTAAAAAAGTCATGTGATTTTTGTTATAAGATGATAAAAATGTTTGTGAATGGACAAACCAGCAGGCTGAGTACACTGTAAAACATCTGAAATGTTGTTGTGGTCTTTCTAAAATGCAGTAATCATTTCAGTATCAGTGTTATTATTTTATAAATTATTCCCAAACTAGAGAGAGTCTGTGCTCCGCATCTCAAACATTCAAACGCCACCGCTCATTCACTGCGTGTCAGCATTACCTTCTGAGGTGCAAGCCATTTATTAAATTAAAGAAAAGATTGACGCAGCTTCTCCTACCGCAGTTTTGGCACCAGTTAATCAAGAAATGACGTTTTTGTTGACTCATTGGATGGAAAAGGTGCTATATTTGCACATTCCTTTATGCGATATTCCAGCTTTACGCATAAAATTAATTTGCATTTTTGGGTGGAAACATAGCTAGTGATGTCATAGTACATGTGTAGTGACTACAGACAGTAGCTTCTAGCAGAAAAGGTAGCACTTTATTTTACTGTCCTCCTTTGCATGTACAGTACATCTTGTGTACTTATCATATTCATTACATAAACTAGGTAATAACTAGGAACTATCCCTAATACCTCTTTCACACCGCATGCACTAGCAGAGCAGAAGTAGTGCACATGTAGAGCAAAAGAAGCATGCATATATTTGGATTTCACACTGACACCGACTGCTCTGTCATCCTGATTTGTTGGTGCTGTACAGATCAAACTATGTATGTCTTTTCTTTTTATTTACGTGCGTGCGTTCGTGTACAGCATACCTGTGAACATTGGGATGTGAAAATAAGGGATATGCCCACCATGATAAGGGACCCCCTTACATTAAATAAGAGGTGTCACTTTAAAAATGCACAAATCTAACTTAATAATGAAAGCATTCGACTGCTTTCCTTACTTTTTATGCTCATTTAAGACGAAATTAGTTGTGTTTGGGAAAAAAAAAAAGCTACCAAGATCGACATCCTTATATGTTATTATTATTAATTATGTGTGTATGTCTGTTTAAACACGCACCCAAAAGCCAGACTTTGTCTCCGCTTCAAAAAGCAAACAGCCTCTGTTTTTCACTATGGAGGGCATCAGCTGACAGTCATGCACCATTATATGACTGTTTTGAGGATTGTATAGGATAGGCGACGGCACCTCTAATCAAAAGGAAATGGAATCGCGCCATTTTTAATATTTATTTATAAGTGTTTTCATTCCTAAACAAAGTGAAAGCACAGAAGACTCACGTTTTAGAGTTAGAGGAGACCCCTGGTGTTTCGGCGGTATGGGTTGCGTATAGGGAGGCTCAGTTGTTCAGAGAAAGGCTGAAAATATGGGAGAAATACGGGAAAATACCTTTACAGGATGATAGCGGGATAGAACAGTAAAATACGGGAGAATCCCGGGAAATACGGGAGGGTTGACGGGTATGGTGTACAGTTAAAGTCAGATTTATTAGCCCCCCTGAATTATTAGCCCCCTGTTTATTTTTTCCTAAATTTCTGTTTAATGGAGAGTTTTTTTAAAACACATTTCTAATCATACAGTTGAAGCCAAAAACAAAATGAATGAATATAAATACTTTTAATCTGCATCAATGTATTATTCTACTTTTATTTATTATTTATTTTTACAATTTTAACATGGATACAAAAATACACAAATAATAATAATAAAAGATAGAACAGAACAAACAGGTCACCAGAGACCTCGCATACAGCATTCTCACACAGTTATTTTGTTTTATTATATTCATACCGTTATCTTTTAAGTGCTTCCAATCTTATTGGTCTCCTCTCCTTCAGAATTAAATGTGGGAAAGAAGTATCACGAATAGAATCAGCAGCAAAAAATAAAAAGCGGGTATATATACAGTACAGCAGATTTAAGTGTAAAATGCACAGTAAATACCTCACGTTGTTTTATTGTTTATTTTAAAGTCCCTTTAAAACATTTTATTTATAAAAACCTGTAGATATAATCAATTTATTCAGAGTGTTTTAGGTCATTATCAATGCATGTCGCTTTAATTAAGTGTAAAAAAATAGACTCTGATGACATGTTCGCAGCACATTTACTTCGGCTCCACACTCATGCTCTAATCAGGTAAAATGTGCATTGAAAAATAAACAATTGCTGCTTATTCTCACTCCTCGTGCGTGTGGTGTAAAAGAGGCTTAAACCTACCTATCCTTAAACCATGCAGTTATTTGTATTGCTCAGCCTACCTATATTTAACTCCGCTTGTCAAATTAACTACTAAGATTGGGTATTTTAGCAGGGAGTATGTGTTTTATTGCACACCTATGAGCGCAAGTTCTAGAGCAGTCAAATATTTGCAAGCATTTTCATGAGTTGCTGAACTGAAAGTGTTTAGCTCTGTGTGAGTGATTTTTGGTGTTTCGCTTTGCTGAACAGGGCTCTCTGTCGCACCCGGAGCTGGTGGTTGCTGTTGAGATGCTGTCTTCAGTGGTGCTGATCAATGAGGCGCTGGATGTTGGCGATCGGGCTGCCATATGGAAACAGCTCAGCAGCAGTGTCACTGGACTCAGCAATGTAGAGGATGAGTACTCCCAGAGGTGCGGATGAGGGATTACTGACTGTCTGCATACAGTCAAAACAGTTCCCAGTTGCTTTAATGCACATTCCTGGTTTTAATTTTTTTAAATACTTTAAAATTAATAACATATTATTTAATACTTTAATAATTAATACTGTTTTTTCTTATAAAAATAACTCTTTCCCCTCTATGTTTTTCCTTTTATTGTAAGTCACTGGCAGCATTTTTAAGGATTTTTCATCTGAATTTGATTGCACTAAGAATATTTTCTGCTAAAAATGTATAGCAAAATAAAAAAGAAAGCCTCTGCATTTAATCCAAATTGAAAACAACATTTTGGATTAAAAACATAAAAATACACACACACACACACACACACACACACACACACACACACACACACATATATATATATATATATATATATATATATATATATATATATATATATATATATATATATATATATATATATATATATATATGTATGTGTGTGTGTGTGTGTGTGTGTGTGTGTGTG